TTTTGCAAAAAAAACGTGATTTTACATAAAAATCCGCCGCAAGCGTATCGTCACTACAGTAACATCTGGGGTGTACGGTAGATACGGTAGGAGATCAACATTGCGAATTCGTTTGAAACTATGCGTAGAGGGGTTACATAACATCCCTGGGCAAAGTCAGACGGATTCACGATGCGGACTCCCTACCGTACGTACCGTACACCTTAGATATTACTGTAGTGCGGCTTAAAGATTCGCCTGGATGAGCCGAGTTTAACACCGCTTTTCAAAAATATCCATTTTTAAAGAAGTTGTGATGATGAGACGCTTGCGGCGGATTTTTATGTAAAATCACGTTTCTTTTGCAAAAGTTATGAGCGTAGTAGAGTCGAAGCTTAGTTTCAACGTTTGCTCTTCAATCTCCCTTTTGTTAGACACCTTTAACTTTAGAAATACATTCATAACTCTTTTATTTATGAGCGTTAAAGATTTTAGAAGTTTGATGCATTCTTTCTATAAAAATGTAATTTATAATGTACTAATATTTCTCGTGTCCGCGAGCATCCTGATGCAGTAGGGAGAATTGCAATGATGGCCATTCCTAAAGGAAAAATCGTTTTAAAAAAGCAAGCATGGCGGTCTATTTCCTTGAGAATAAAAATGTATATAATTTCACTCTCCTTTAACCATTAAAAATCAAAGAATTAGAGCAAATCAAGTTATTTGCACAATCCTATATTTTTGCCTTGCCTTCTACTAGAAAGCATTACGTTTGTAGGGAAAAAATCATCAAAAGCTTTCCCCTACCCACCTTAAGTTAAGTCTCTCAAAGAACCTTTTGTCCTAAAATACTGCAGTTGATGTGGTTGCGCCTTGTTTTTCTCGCTGTTTATTCGTGTTTTCCTTTTTGTTAGTAAGCACTCTCATTACATAAAGTAACTAATGCCACTGATTGAGTCTCTATTAAATCCTAGTTCTTTCTGCTGATACTCAGCTAACCAAACCACCTCCTCCACTTGCTGTTTTCACTCAAATAATAGTGATTATACGTATTTACCGCAGTGTTAAGAGGATTTATTATAGCTGTTCAATGTGGTTTTATCTCTGCATGTGTTCCTGTTAGTGATTAATCTGTTTTCCCACTCTTCAATATAGTTGCTCCCAGTACTTGGTAAAACCTATTATCCCTACTATCCTGCTACCAATAATGAACACTACTTTAATATTTGATGGTAATCGCCTCAACATCACTATTAAAAGGTAACCTGAATGACATTGGTTAGCCCAAGGAGCGCCTAACCCTTGTTTCTGTTAGCTTTAATAATTCAAACTTTGCCCTCTTGCTATAAATTCTGGCCTACTCTAAGGTTTACGGGCACTAAGCAGCAGTAATCTCAGAGCACAAAGGCAATGTCAAAG